CGTCTTTGTTGTTGTCAGGTGCTGTATGGAGGTAAAGGTGGGCGTGGCCTTCAGGCCAGGTATGTGGTGTTGGACAGTGAAGGTGACCACCTGGTGCCGACCCATTCACTTGCACCAATGCATAGTGATGGCACAGTTGGGGGACTGAGACCGTTGACTCGCTCATTTTTCTTTCCTGGAGGAAAACCCCCCAAAGCCAGCTTCTGCTGGTTCAGTCCAGAGGAGGCCTGCAGTGGAGGTGTGTTCAGCGACGCTCAAAAGGAGGGTGGATATGCACGTTTCAGTTGTAGACACTTTCTACTTCCGTAGGCTTGGTCCAACAGACAAGCTCCTTGTTTTTTCCCACAGAAAGGTTCAGTCATGGACTGGTTACTTTATCTGATTGGCCCTGCCAGATTAATTTATTTACCACGATATTAACTGCTGATCAAATAGGTATCAAACAAGTTAAACAAGATAAGAAACAACAAAAATGAAAACAGTGATGGATGTCATTGGATAAAAGCCCCATAGCTAGTCAGCTGTGAAGGTTCAGAAACTACCTGAGAACTTTTGAATCTGAAAAATGAGACAGACTGATGAGACTTGTGTTTGTGTTCCAGGAGTGGATGGAGTCACCATGTTCTTCATCATCCTACTGCTTTGTGGTCTGATTGCTGCTTTCATCTTTTGGATCAGGTCATTTCTCTCTCTCTCTCTCTCTCTCTCTCTCTCTCTCTCTCTCTCTCTCTCTCTCTCTCTCTCTCTCTCTCTCTCTCTCTCTCACACACACTCTCTCTCTCTCTCTCTCTCTCTCTCTCTCTCTCTCTCTCTCTCTCTCTCTCTCTCTCTCTCTCTTTCTCTCTTAAAGGGTAAGATGCTGTGACGGTTATAATCTGGTTATTACCTGTGCTGAGGTGTATTTGGCTGGTGTAGGTTCTCAGTAGAATGATAATCTTGAAGGTTTAATTGAAAACAACTGTACTTTTGTTATTTTGGACGTCTAGTCTCTCATCCAAGAAGCTTCCTCTAAGACAAACACTGATAGGGCAATTGACGCTTTGAGCCCGCTTTGAAAACCACTCGGGCAGAGTTCAAACAGACCAGAATAATCAGATGTTTGCTGCACAGAAAGTCCAGGTGTTTAGAGAGAATTGGATCATTGAGCAGGAAGGACTTATTGTTAATGGAGCGGGTTTTAATAGAGCCATGCTGAGTGAGGTGGATGAATCAGAAAGTACAGAAACAGCTGGAGTTAGTGGACGTAGATTACAAGGGTTAGATCCACGGTGTTTATAAAGACCACTCATGGAGGGAACAGGAGGAGAAACCACAGAAGGATGCGGATAAACACACCTGAGGAAACATGGATGGAGGCCAGTGTTTACTAGCCAAACGTTATTCTCACCTGGAGCTGTTTGTTTCCTCCTTTTCCTCTTTATCACCTGGTTCATAAAAACGTTGTTAGATGCGCGTAGCTAGTGTCCAACACCCGGTGAAGACAGCCACGGCACGCCTTGACTGATCATGGACAATCAGAAGGATTAGAGAGTCAGGTGATCGTACAAGATCGTAGCCAGGACATTACTGCAAAGAACATAAAAGAGTTGGCATTAAAATGTTTGAAAAGGTGTCAAGTACCTGCAGCAGAGCCAAATACATACGCCAAGGCCATACACTCATGTGACCTCCATGACCCCATTGGTGACCTCTGTCCTATTAACATGTTTGTTTCCAAACACAACCTCTAAGCCTCATACACCCAACCCGAGTTTCAGACCTGGAGAAACTCCTTGGATGAGAGAAGTCCTGTTGTTCCCAGTGGAACGTGTTTCAGTGTTCTGTAACTCTGAATGAAGCAGTTGTGTTTTTGAACAGGAAGTGCAAAATATCTGCAAATGTGACCAAACTCATTCTGACTCTGGATGACATTGTGTTCATCGACACTCAAGTCAGCAGAAAGGTTATAAAGCTCTTTGTTGTTCCCACTGATACCAGTAGAGTGTGCTTCCATTCTAATGTGATCCCAGCAGCTAACTGGAGTTCCCCTCAGCTTTTGCTCTGTCCTGTTGCTCAGTTGACTCTCAGTGAATCCAGCAATGACCTGCCTTCATGTTCATGTTGAACCAGCTCAGTAGGACGGGGAGGTTGTGGGTTCAAATCCATAGTCATACCTAGGACCCAGTGCCTCCTCGCTTGACTCAGCATTTTTTTTGGGGGGGGGGGGGGGGGGGGGGGATTAGGGGTTAAACCAGCTAATGGTTCCTGAGCTGCTGCAGCTCACTGCTCCCCATGGGGATGGGTCACATGCGGAGATGTAACCAGTGTGTGGTGATTACGGGACTTTAACTTCAATGTTACATTTACACAAAATCTCAATTTCCTTTTGTGGGCCTGTGTTTGATATAGCGCCTTCTAGAGTCCTGGAACCCCCAAGGTGCTTTACAACAGTCATTCACCCATTCACACCCTGGTGGGGATGAGCTGTGCTTTTAAATTGCTACAAAACAGCAGCGATTTAAAAGCACAGCGAAGGTTTAACTAAGTGGAATAATGAACTGAACTCAGCGATCTGAACTGAAATCAGAGTCTAGTCAGCTGTTAGCAGTGAGTCCGATGAAAACAACAAACTAAAGCAGTCCCTCAAAAAGCTGCAGCTGGGAGAAAAAAGTGACTGAAGATCTTTATTTGCATGAGTAGAAGAACATTGATTTAGTATTTTATAAAGAGGACAGACCATTGTGTTAGGTTTCTGCGTTTGCTGGTCGCTCCTCAGCCTGTCAGGTCCAGAGGTCACAGCTCCTAAAGCGTCGCTCACACCAAGCGTGGAGCAGATGCTGCAGCATGCACATTGACCACAAATCACTGAGTCCAGTCAGCATTCACTCCGGCAGCAGGGCAGTGCAGATCCGCATGTGGAGCTCAGGACAGCACAAGTCTATTTTTACTAGATGCCAGATGTGGATCGTCAGGAAGTTAAAGACAGGAAGTGTCACATGTGTCAGCGAGGTGAATCCAGTTCCTTTCAGAATAAAACCTGTGTTGCGTTATTTTTACTGTTGGGTCAGATTTCTAATCATTTGCTGCTCTTGTGGGAGCAGATATCTGGACTAGTTCAGTTCCACAGTTGCCCCTGCAGGAGGAAGCTGTGGGGCAGGGGCAACAACTCTGTGTCTGGATGTGGCTGATGGTCTATTCAGATGGATCTGGAGTTCTAAGCTTAGCACCACCAGTCACTACCCTGGGTCACCATTACATCTGAACTGGGTCAGGGTGTGCAGGTGGACTCCCAACCCATTCTCCGTTTTAGTTTAGTGGTCCAGTTGGACATTTTCCCCCCGGTGCTCCTGTCCCTCATCGAGGTCTTATAGGTGCCTGTGGTGCTTTTGTTTGTTCTCCTACTGTTTCCACTAAAGGTTTAGCTTTAGTCACACCACTCCCACTTTAACTACAGGAGTGGGTTTGAGTCGCTTCAAATTGAAATTTTTCCTCCTAGAAACTGAATGATGAGTCGATCATGAGAAGTCTTCTGGAGATCAAAACGCCACTACGGACCATTGCTAGAAGCTACATCTTAACAACACCAGAGAGCTCCAACATTGGGATCCTGGAGGTATGCCTGTAATGATATCAGTACAGGCACCTGTACCTGTTCCTTTACCTGGGTATTCTTTTCTTGCCATAATACTAACTCTGCTCTGATTGGTTTACTGTTGCCAGGGCGACTGGGTCTGGCTGAAAAAAATTCCTTTTGGAAAGACAATGACAGCTGTCAATCAGAACACCCAAAATCTGTTCAGCCAGGTAGGACACAGCTGGTGCACCTGGTCGTATCTGGGTCTGGTTCTGGTGAGGCTATCCCAGACTCAGCCCCGGTGATGGGAACAACATTTACCGTGTTATCAGATGAATGACTTTCTCTGTTGTTATAATGACTGATGCCACCCGTTACAGAATTCAGCAACAAGGTATGTTGAAGCTATCCTCATCTGATCAGGAGCTAAAGGGGCAGATGCTTATGACCAATCACATCACAGCCAATGAGCTACAGACCCAGAGAGCAGGTGTGAATCTGCTTTGCCGTCTCCGGGTCTGCAGCCGTACCAAACTTGATGTGACCGCATAACTATCTATTCAAGGAAGATCTGCTCCCCTGTTCACCGCCCAGATGTCAGCTCATTCCTCGTCATGATCTTCTGTCTACCTAGATCATCCTGCAGTCATGTGTGTGTGTGTGTGTGTGCGTGTGTGTGTGTGTGTGTGTGTGTGTGTGTGTGTGTGTGTGTGTGTGTGTGTGTGTGTGTGTGTGTGTGTGTGTGTGTGTGTGTGTGTGTGTGTGTGTGTGTCTGCTCTGTCTTCTCCATCCCAAGTCAGTCGTGGCAGATGGCTGTTTATACTGAGCCAGGATCCTCTGGAGGTTTCTTCCTGTTAAAAGGGAGTTTTCCTCTCCACTCTCGCTGCATGCTTACTTAGTATGAGGATTGCTGTAAAGAGTCTGACACTAGTCAATGACTCGATGCAACCTGCTGGGTTCCTTGTATAGGAAACATATTACTGATTGGCTTAATGACCTGACCTTACTGGAATGTTTATTGTGTGAAGGTCCTTGAGACGACGCTGGTCCTGCTTTGGCGCTTTATAAATGAAGTCGAATAGAATTTATGGGTTACTAGATTATGAGTAACAGAAGTACCCAGACAGAAGCTATTTCTCTTTAAAGAGATCAAAGGTAAGACTGTAAATAGAAGTTCATTTACGTGCAGGAACTGATGCAGATCCACCTGTTCTGCTGTTTAGAGTCATGACTGGATCTGGGGCTTTTGTCATATCCCACTGACATTTAAATACTTTAGTGTGATGCTTTCTCTTGGTAGTTCCTTCTGTTAGATGTCCATTTATTCACTTTTATAAAAACATTAGACACATTTAGTCATTTAGAGTAAATGTAGTTGGTTCTGTAAAGAAGAGATCCAAATGTTTTTGCATATTTTTATGAAAAAAGTGACTCAGTGGTTACTTTTCCTGGTAATTTACTACTTTTATGACATAGTAACTCTGTTACTTTTTGAAGAAGTAATTAGTAACTATAACTAATTACTGTTTTGAAAGTAACCTGCCCTTTCTGCAGCCCCTCCTCCAGCTCCCCAGGTTTCCTGGGCTGTGGGTGGTAATTGATTGGCTAAAGCCGCTCGGGTCTCACCATTTGCCAGCTAACACCTGCTGTTTAATGTTTTGAATCTGTTCAGAGCCCGAAAAAAAAAATCTCTAATGTCATACCTGAGGAAACTGGAGACCTCTGCACTGGTACTCCAGACCAACCATGTCCTCAACATCTGGCTGTTTCTGTTGTGACTGGCATCCACAGCCTTGTGGCTTAGCTAGTTTAAGTCACATCAACACAAAGGGTGGTGATCAGTTCTCTCTCTTCTCCTCTCTTCACCCAAGTGTCCTAAACACAAGGCCACAAATGACAAAGTCAACCACTGACCTGTGACCTCAGCAGCCCAGGACCCACGGGTACCAATCCCTCTGTTTAAACATGCTTGTTGCTTTGGATAAACTATGACTTGCACAGAAGACCAGCAACAAAACTGCTCCTCTCAAACCAGTCACGCCCGTCCAGGTCACATGGTCATTGCCCAAATGAGCACTGGCATGGAACCGGAAAACTGATGCTTTTGCGGCCAAAAACCAAAGAATCAGGCTCTTGGCACCGAACTAGCTCTGGAACCAGTTTGGTCAAAAGATCCTATCAGGGACTCAAACAAGGGTAGGCACCCTGAGTGGGTATTTGCCACTTACGCACCAACAACCGTCAGGACCATCCCCTACCGTGAAGCCACCCTTTTGTCCCCTGGGGTAAACGGGCAAAAAGTCTAGAGGCTAACAAGGAGCCCAGCTGACCCGCTGCCTCTGAAGCAACTAATGCAATAAAGATGATCTAATTATCTAACCTCCACCTCCTTACTGCGGCAAAGGACGTTCATTACCTGTAATGTCCCTGAAAGGGTCCCCCCAGCTGCAGGAGGAGCAGTAAGAGTCTGGTGCAATGGGTTTGGGTAGCTGCAGGTAAACTCGTAAGGGACATTCTGATGATTTGTTTTGGTGTTTCTGCTGTTCTCTTCATGGTGATTCAAGAGAACATTTGTGAAGTGAATCACAGCTCAGCAGCGAAAAAGGTTTCTGTTTTCTGTCTGATGTGCAGCTACGTGAGATGCGTCATGAGAACCTGAACCTGTACCTGGGTCTGTTCGTGGATTCGGGAATCTTGGCTCTGGTGGTGGAACACTGTCCCAGAGGAAGTCTGGCAGACCTGCTGGCCGACAGCAACGTCAGGCTGGACTGGATGTTCAAGTCCTCCCTGCTCATGGACCTCATCAAGGTTCTTTAGTCAGTTTTAACACAAGGAGGATGTATTTGTTGTTGCATCCTCCTGGAGCTTCTGTTGGTCCATCTGTTCAGTAAAGATAAAACCTCATGATTACGTTTTCATGCTGATGCCTGCAGAGGAACTCATATTTATCATAATCTTCACTCAGCAGGCCTGCTTTTGTGTTCCTTTACTCTTGTATTCATTTTGGAGATGTGAAGTTTTTGTAATGTTATCAATGACCTTTTGTCTAAGCTCTGTGGTCTTACTCATGTTTACGGTCTGTCGCTTCTTCAGGGGATGAAATATCTTCACCTGCGAGGGTTGACTCATGGTCGTCTGAAGTCTACAAACTGCTTGGTGGATGGACGTTTTGTTCTGAAAATCACAGATTATGGAATTCCCATGATCCTTCAGTCCCAGAGCGTCAGCCTTCCTGATGATCCACAAGGTAAAACACATCTAATCACTCATTTATGTGTCAGACTGGGTTTATACACATTATTTTCCCAAGCCTGATTTGTACCAGTTTGGCCTTTTAACAGCATTAAAGATAGATTTGGTACAAAGGAAATAATAGTTGCACCTAAACAGCTTGGTGCAGGCTAAAGAGGGTGTGGCCGGTGCTCGGCCTGGCTCCTGCTGCTCTATGTGCCGTTTCTATCCTTCATCTACGAACTATGTCGTTTCTATCATTCATCTACGAACTATGTCGTTTCTATCCTTCATCTACGAATGATGTAGTTTCCTCCGATACTTCGGTTTCCCCCACAGATCACAACATGCCCTATAGATTAAAAGTTGTATGTCGCTTAGGTTAAAAGCATTTGCCAAATAAACATAAACAAAAGGACTCCTGGGGTGCAGAGCTGGCTAGTGTAGTGTCGTCGTCAGTGGTGTTGAGGGCTTTGTTTCCCATCACACACAAACACAAATGCTATTTCACCGAGAAGCCCCGCAACCAGACCGAGTATGTTACGTAACTGACATCACCTTTACATAACCAGGAAACAAAGTCATCACATACGCACGAACTGACCTGACCTGACAAATGATTAATGACTTGCAATCGACCAGCACCTTCTCAGCAAGCACCAAGCTCATTTCCAAATGATCTAGAAAAACACTGCTTGCTCTGATTGTTGCTCATTACCAAAACGTATGTCTGCTGGAGACAGAAACAATCCGCTTCCAACTAAACTCCAGCTACTGAAAGAGATGCCAATGCAGAAGTGATGCAAAGTTCCGTTAACTGGCCTGTTTAGCTGTAATTAATGTTGGAATGTTTGAATAATTAGGGGTGTGTCCATTTGATTGACAGGTAGCAGAAGAGCTGTCGGCACTAGCGCTAGCTGGTTGGGTCTTCCTTGCTCCAGGGAAGGCCTCAACCTCAGCCTCACGTTATATGTCAGCCTAGAAGACGGAGGGTGCCATGTCCTGTCTTCTGTCTCCCTAGTCCATTCCATATGCTCTCCCACCTCCAAGTTTCCTGTTGCAGTAACCAAAGGAAATGCATCTTTAATTAATTTGGTTGGGATTGGATCTAAAAGGCAAGTTGAAGGTTTAGATTAAGCTAATATTTTTGATAACTTTGAAAGCCCAACTGGATCAAAACAGTACAGATGAGGTTCTACAGTTACCTCTGATGCTGCCTCACTTACTGAGGAAGACTCACTATCATTACCACCATCTTCATCATTATCACCACTAGGGTTGCTACAATTATAAATTTTGGTGGTACGATTATAGTCTGAGAAATAATCACTATTATTTTATATGAATTGATTTCACATCTGTATTAACACACAAATAAATCACACACACGTTCTATAAGTAACTGATTAAAGCCATGATTACATTCTATAAAGGTTTTGAACCTCTGAAATATCTATTGTTCCTTTTCAGAGATTTTGTTTAGAAAAATTCACTCTACTACTGATTTGCAACATTGATGTTTTACCTCCACCAATAACACAAGCCTGGAGGAGTTCTGCTATGTGGTGGAGCTGCTAATGCTAACGGTTAGCTTCTACTAGCTGAGACGTTCTCTGCTGTTTCCTGGACTAAACCAACAACAGCTTCCCCGTCGTGAGTCCAGATGGGTGAGTCCATTAATGTTAGTGACAGTGTGACAGATCTGTCAGGATTTTCTATCCTTGAGTTTCCTCGTCTGTTTTCTATCAGAAGCTAATGCAGGAGACAGGTGTAGGAGACTATTTTCTATCAGAAGCTAATGCAGGAGACAGGTGTAGGAGACCATTTTCTGTCAGATGCTAATGCAGGAGACAGGTGTAGGAGACCATTTTATATCAGAAGCTAATGCAGGAGACAGGTGTAGGAGACCATTTTCTGTCAGATTCTAATGCAGGAGACAGGTGTAGGAGACTATTTTCTATCAGAAGCTAATGCAGGAGACAGGTGTAGGAGACTATTTTCTATCAGAAGCTAATGCAGGAGACAGGTGTAGGAGACCATTTTCTGGCAGATGCCAATGCAGGAGACAGGTGTAGGAGACTATTTTCTATCAGAAGCTAATGCAGGAGACAGGTGTAGGAGACCATTTTCTGTCAGAAGCTAATGCAGGAGATAGGTGTAGGTAGTATGTTTACTGCATTAGGTCATCTCCCTCATCACACCAGACAAGAAGTAAAGCTAATTTAAGAACACATTACACATAAATTAACCTTGTCCCCCAGACTCAGCGGCTCTGCATCACGGAGAGTGTGTTCTGATAATTATTGGTAAAGATAACAGCGGTCTATAAGAACCAGCCGCTCTGCTTTCTCGTCAGTTCAGTCCGAACATTCGACAGAACGAGGTTGGAGAGCAAAGCTTTAAGACTGGCCATCTACACCCTTTCTAACCAGAAGGATTTTGACACACTGTCAAAACCTTAAGCTTTTGCACCTGCAAAGCTGAGGACAACAAGATATTTTTCCTGCAGAACAAAGCTGATTTTGTGACACTCCTTCAGAGTTGTTTTGAGACGCTTGGTTCCATCCAGTCCACCTGTGTTACCTGGAAACGATCCTGGACCGACCTGGTCATACTAAGAGTTGGTCTACGGACTTCTGTACTCTGGGTCCCCCCGATATTTCGGATCCGAAAGGGTGCCTCCACTTAGGTACGTAGAACACAGTGAGATAGCGTCTGCGTGCAGTTTGTTAAGAACAGCTTACAGCTTAGATGCAAACCAAATTCTTTTATTATCCAGAACTCACCTCTCTCTGAGATGCGGAGATTTTGACTCCGAAATACTATATTCACACCTAGTTTCAGATGCCCATCTACTAGTTCCATCCATTCACAGTATAATAGTTTTAAACCATTTGTCAAGTCTTAATTCTTTGTAAAATAAATTCTTATTTAATTGCAAACATGCCTGGTTCTTTGATTATAAACAAAGGCAGAGCTAGTTCCGTGTTGGTCAGAGGGGCCGACGGCGCCAAATGGCAGCCTCGCCTCCATCAGACCTCCCCAGGGTGGCTGTGGCTACAAGTAGCTTACCATCACTAGCAGTATGTGAATGTGAGTGTGTGAAAGCATCTTTGGGGGTCTTGAAAAGTGCTATATAAGTTCAATGCATTATTATTATTAAAACCACAACGTAAAAGTTAGTCTGCAAATACAAAACAATGTGTTTTTAATTGTTGAGAGATTAAAGTCGCCCCCCCCCCCAATTCCTCAAGTTGGTATGGTCGGTCCACACATGCTGTTTCCAACGGGTGGGGTTGCCGGCTCTGCCCCGCTCACAGCTTCACAGCAGCCCACAGGCTCACAGGAGGCAGGAATCAAAAAGCCGGCGGTTTTCAGCAGTAAGTCATTTATCACACGCTTGTTCTACAAACTTAAATATGTGTGTCAAATGTGGTCATAAATGTGAAACATAGACACCGATTATCTTTAGATTTTGATCACCGGTTGGAGATCCCTTTATGACAGACCACCAAAAAAGTTGTCAATTCATGTTCTCTGGTCATTCCAGGATTATTCCACTATTATAATTCCATTCACTAAGGTGACCAAAAGTTCCTTTTTCCGGACACGTACGCTTTCACGGTCTGCCCCTGGAATCTGTGGAGCATTTATAGATCGATGAAAATGTTCGCGTTTCATCCTATTTAGCAGATGAAAATGGTAGAATCAAAACTAACTGGTCCGATGTATGGAAAACCACAGCATTTAACCGCTCTTATCACGTCTTCCCCAGGCTCTGCAGTTGTTTACAATATGTCAAAGTGCAGTTGCACCGTGCAGCTTAGGGATGAACTGGTTGCAGCACATGTGTGGTGGAGGCACGTTGCTCAAAGCTCTCAGTGTAAAACATAGAGCCAAAGATCCCGTTGGCCACACAGACCCAAAAACACAATGAAAACTGAGAAAAGTGAGAGATCGATTAAACTGAAAGATAAACTATAGAGTATGTATAATTATGTTTAGTGTATTTGTAAAGTAAAAGTTTTTAATTTTTATTATTAAAATGAAACAAATATTTCAAGAATAAATTTTTGGATTTTGTGTATCTTTTCGTTCCGTAGGACTTAAATAAAGTTATTAAATATTACAGAGTTATTCTCTAGTAGCCTACAAACATTTCTGATTTATTAAAGACATTTCAGTCATTTTGATACTTGACTTGTGAAAGCTGATTTGAAGTTTGTTATTTTTTCTAGACATATTTAGAAGGAAAATTTCAAATATATTAAAATCAACATGGAACTATTTGGATTTTAGTTGTTTTCATGCTATGTGACTTAATAACATTTTAATTTGACATTTTATGTTCTCTCTCTTTGTTGTGAAAAGTTAGATATGTTTTAGTACTTAAAATTAATGCTTTGCATCCGTCCACACGTGTAGCTGCTGGTCAGCTAATAGCCGTGTCATTTCAGGACATGTTGCTTCAACTATTAACGATCTACTTTTAAATCTTTATTCTGAATCGCTTATTCCGTTTTATGCCACAGTCTTGTTATTGAAATGAAAATAAAAAGAAAGGATGCTTATGGAGATGTACAAAATTGGCAAGATTTTATTGTTGATCAATATCCTCCAGCTCTGTTCTAATGACAATATCCCATCTGTGTGTGTGTTGCTGTCCAACTGTCAGCAGACCAGGTCAGTTGAAATGGCAGAGACATTTTTAATGTCCCCCCCAAAATTGAAATGGGATTTCCGCCCTTGGGACCACACCAGCTTCTTCCACAATAAATAATAATAATAATAATAATAATAAATAACATATTTAATTTCCTTGCTGAACTATTTCTGTTGAGAGTTTTAATGTTTAAAATCTGTTAGATTGTTACTGACAGCAGCTACATTTAAGTTTCACTTCCTGTTCTGACTGAATGCTGCTGCAGCATGGAGGTGTAGTTCTCAGTCATCCTGGACATGATCGTCCTGAGAGTTGTAGCTGAAAACAGCTGGACGTTTCTGGATATGTTGGAGACATTTAGCCTCTCAGCCCAGAGGCTTCTTCCAGACTTTGGTTGTGGTCAGAAACAAACACACTGGTTGTGCTGCAAGTCTCTTTCTTTTTTCCCTAAAACATGTTTTTGTCTAAATGAAGGTGATGTTGTTGTTCATAGAATTAAAATTCATGTTTAAGTTAAGATTATTTCATCAAGTAGGACCTCATGAGCGGTGATCTGCGAGAAATCCTAGGAGCCAGTCTGTCTGGTGAACCCATCATCCTGGCTGCCACTTCTCCGGACACCGAGAGCGACTGTCACACAAGGGTGTTGTAGACTTGCACAGTGGTGTCTTAATAATCACCATCTTCATCATCACCAAACGACTGAATCTTGCGTTTGTAGAGGAAACTGGTGTTTCACATATCTGTAGATGCAACCAAGTCCTTCTGGACTCATTTGTCAATCTGTCATATGGAGACATCAAATAACCAGTTTTCCGATCCTTCTTGTGTTTATCTCAGATCTGCTGTGGACAGCTCCAGAGCTTCTAAGGAGTCCGGTACGAACGGGTTCATTTTCTGGAGACGTCTTCAGTTTTTCAGTCATCATGCAGGAAGTGATCTCACGAACACTGCCGTATGCCATGATGGACATGCCAGCTCATGGTAAATTAGAAACTCAACCCTAAAGACGAGTCTGTGTTACTACCACCCATGTGTCTGAGCGAATGTCCGTCGGTGTGTCAGAAATCGTGGAACGCCTGAAGAAGCCGCCTCCTCTCTGCAGGCCTGTGGTTTCAGTGGATGAAGCTCCTGCGGAGTGTCTCAACCTGATGAGTGAATGTTGGAGTGAAGATCCCAGCAAAAGGCCAAGCTTTCATGACATTTTCAAACAGGTGAGATGACTTGATGCATCTTTGGTGACCTTAATGCTTCATTCTCTGATGCTTTTGGAGCATCATCCTGGCCCATATTAATTATTACTGTCAGTCACTGACATCATCAAACTTTATTTTGGACACAATCAGGGCCATAATATCAAAAAGGTTTGAGACTGTAGTATGGAGTAGGAGTACAGAGTTGAGAAGAGTAGAGTAACAAGCAGCAGTGAGTTCCAGCTCAGTCATCTAAAATGGTCTGTCTGATTCCAGAGGCTGGACGTGAAGTGAGCCGAGCTTCACCGTCGTAGAGGCCGTCAGGCGGCACGTGCTTTAGATGGCAGGGCGTAGTAGGAATACGTAAACATCTGGCTGTCATTGATCCATCTAGGTACCCTCAACAGCAGCCACAGCCCATCATTGCATGCCACCTTCTGTAGTTCTGCCACAGGTGGGCTGTCTGAACGGGCGTACGACTGCTCTAAATGCCAGTTTCACAAGAACGGGGCACAGAGCTAATTGGCTGGCGCGTATTGCAGAAACACTGTCTGTGAATGTCATCTGACAGGTCAGCAGTGATGTAGTGCTCCAGGTGGTTTACCTCATCACATCGCTGGACAACACAGATAAAACTAGTCCAGAATAGTGACCACGTTCATAGCAGTTGTTGCCAGGCAGCACTGCATGGACAGATTGGGCATCTGTCCAGATTTACCAAATGCAACCACCTCTGAGCCAGCCTTGATCAGAAGGCTGTCGAAACCCCGAGGACACTGGGACTGGACGTAAACTCCTGATCGTGTTTTCAGTTTCGGGGCATCAGCAGAGGCAGGAGGGCCAACATCATCGACTCCATGCTGCGGATGCTGGAGCAGTACAGCTCTAACCTGGAGGATCTGATCAGAGAGCGTACGGATGAGCTGGAGGTGGAGAGGAACAAGACAGAAAAGCTAGTCGGACAGCTTCTGCCAAAGTGAGACACTGTTCATTTCAGCGGATGAAGATAAAAACCATTTGAGAATCTGAGTTATTCTGGATGCAAACGTTCTTAGTGGTGTCGTGAATCGTGTTTCAGGTCTGTGGCCCAGGCTCTGAAGAAAGGGAAGCCGGTCCAGCCTGAACATTACTCAGACTGCACTCTTTACTTCAGTGACATTGTGGGATTCACAACCATTTCAGCTCTTAGTGAGCCCATTGAGGTACCAACCCTTCAGACTTCTGTGTGCTGTCTACATGTGATGATCTAACTGAACATGTGATTGTAGGTGGTTGACCTGCTCAATGACCTCTACACCATGTTTGATGCCATCATTGCCACTCATGATGTGTACAAGGTGGAGACTATAGGAGATGCATACATGGTGGCTTCAGGTGTTCCCAACAGAAACGGAAATCGACACGCAGCAGAAGTGTCTAACATGTCTTTGGACATCCTGCATTCAATCGGAGCCTTTAAGATCAAACACATGCCGGAGATCAAAGTGAAGATACGCATCGGCCTACACTCAGGTATGCACGTGCACACTTACTTCTGAATGAGACTGTTGGGCTAAAGCAGTCCCGTCTAACCTGTCTCCACAGGTCCGGTGGTTGCAGGTGTGGTCGGGCTCACCATGCCCAGGTATTGTCTGTTTGGAGACACCGTGACCACCGCCTCTCTCATGGAGTCTAGTGGGCTGCGTACGTAAGACTAAAACCAGTCAGTGATGTGAGCGTGCTCTGAATTAGACTTTCTCATGACTGATTGTAAAACACAATCAGGACGACTGACTTCCTGTTGTTCTGCAGCCTACAGGATCCACATCAGTCTGAGTACCGTCAAGGTTCTGACCAGCCTCAAGGTGGGATACCACATAGACACCAGGAAGGCTCGGGTAAGGTCACGCTAAATAAAACAACTGGTTTTAAGGGGCAACATCATCTCAATTCAATTCAAGTTTATTTATAAAGCGCCAAATCACGACCAGTTGTCTCAAGGACCTTCATACAGTAAACAATACAGGTCAGTTCATTAAGTTAATCAGTTAAATGTTTCATATTAAAAGGAACCCAGCAGGTTGCATCGAGTCACTGACTAGTGTCAGAGTCTTTACAGCAATCTTCATACTAAGCAAGCATGCAGCGACGGTGGAGAGGAAAACTCCCTTTTAACAGGCAGCCAATGTAGGGAAGCTAAGACAGGAGAGATATGATCTCTCTTTAATTTTCATCAGAACTCTAGCTGCAGCATTTTGGACAAGCTGAAGACTTTTAACTACATTCTGTGGACATCCTGAGAGTAATAGATTACAGTAATCCAGTCTTGATGTAATGCACAAACTCGTTTTTCAGCATCACTCCTGGAAAGGATGCTTCTAATGCCACTCGTAAAAAAGAACACTATGTTACAAGCAAAACATGAGATCCTAGAGGATTTCTTGGCAAGTAGTTACCTGAACTCCTGGCAGGAAATCATTAAAAGGATTAGAGGTACAGAAACATCAAAACTCTGGAGGTGCCCTGCCTATGATTTGGAATTTATACCAAATAGGACTGATGGTAGATTTAAGACATGGATCTCAAAAGGATTAACCACATACTACTCATTTGTAAGTGGGAGGACTTTTCAGAGTTTTGAGGCTTTACAAAACACGTATGGGTTGGGAAGAAGTGACTTTTTCAGGTATCTTCAGGTTATATTTCAACCACAACTTAAATAAGGAGTTGAAACAAGGAGAGACCGGATTCATTGGAATTTTCTTATCGATAACCAAGACTAACTTAGGCAACAAAATTATCTCAAAATTGTATAAGGCCATACAGGTATCTAAACAGGACAATACAGAATGCATAAAGAAAAGATGGGAAAAAGAAATCAAATTAAAGATCACACAGGAGGATTGGGAAGGTATTTGCCAAATACAGTGGAACTCTACAGGGTCGTATAACTGGAGAGAATTCTGCTGGAAAAACATTACAAGATACTTTATTACACCTATCCATAAACTACACCTAGGCACTGGAGACACCTGCTGGAGACTTTGTGAAACTACAGGAGCAAACCATTTTCATGTCTTCTGGGACTGTCCGGTGATAAGGCCCTACTGGTCAGAGATCAACAAACACATCAACAATGTATTCAATGTAACAATCCCACTTAATTGTGAAACGATGTATTTGGGCAACATGTCGGGTGTAACATACAACATGAAAGACAAGAAACTGTTATTAATGCTACTGGCAGCAAGTAAGAAATCGGTCACAAGGAAATGGTTACAAGCAGATCCTCCCACGGTGGGAGAGTGGATTGAAATAGTCCATGAGATATATGTTATGGAAAAGATATCTTCATCCCTCAAAGTGGAAAAAGGAAAATTTTACAAAATCTGGACCAAGTGGACTGAGTACGTCAAGCCTACTAGATCTGACTTCATGTGAAGTAGAACTTTGAAGGTGGGAACTGTTCCCTAACCCACTCTTACTTGTTTAATTTGATAGATGTACTGTATATGTGAGATTGTAAGATGCGCCCCCCGGTTTGGTTTGGATTTGTTAATATTTTGAACTGCTGGGTAACAGGACTTAATAAGAAAATGGGAGCGGCAGATGAACACAACCATCCAAATGTAAGGAATACAACACCTTGTGTGAATGTAGATTACTCAGGATGATTGTAAAATGGAAATGGGAGGTGAGGTGATCATGCCCCTTCAAAAAAAAAAAACATTATGAAGTAGGAGTACAGAGTTGAGAAGAGTCATGTCTAGAGAATTCCGTCATAATAAACTCAAAAGTTATCAAAACTTGGTCAGACAGGACTGGATTGTGGGGACATATCGTTATTTCCTCACACTCTATGCCATAGGTCAGCACAAGGTATAATGTATGATGGCAGGAGTAGGTGGAGGAGTGCTCCCCAGGGCAGCTGTGGCTACATCATAGCTCATCACTACCTGTGTGTGAATGGATGAATGAAACTCTGTCGTGTAAAGCCCTTTGGAGTCCTCTGACTCCTGAAGGCGCAATACAAATGCGGGTTATTTATCATTACTTTGCATATTTTAATTGATTACATTTTACCACAGTTTTACTCTACATCTATATTATTTTAATATTTATTACATTAAAATTAATTATTTATTTACTTACATTTACTACTATATTAGCTCCTGCTATTTTTATATTTCATCTTATATTAACCTTTCTTCCTCAGTGGGGGCCCTCAGCCTCGGGGGTGGTGGTCAACTGTTGCTACCTGGGTGGAGTTGGGGCCTATGCCCTCCTTCCCCACTGCAACCGGTGTTAGTGCCTCGGCTGCTGCCAGGGCAGATGGCTTCTGTGATGGCGTTTTCTTGCCTTACAATATTTGGATCATCTGAACTCAGCCCAGTATAACTTTGACTGTTGTTCTTACATGGATGTGTGTATGGGAGGTGGGGGTTTGGGGTGGTGTGGTGTGGGAGGGATTGGAATGAGGGTTATGTAGATTCGTTTTTATCTGTAAAGCACTTTGTGTCACGGCGTGTGGGTGAGGTGAGCGGAGGCAAGGATCCAAATGTGGGTGAAGAAGGCAGGCAGGCAGACAGACAGGAACGGTTTAGTAAGGTTTTAATATAAAACACGCTGGACATAGAAACAATAAACCGACAAATCATACAGAACTGAGAGGGTTTAAATACATGAAGGCTGGGAGCTTGGGTGATTGGAAAACGAGAGGCAGGTGGGAGCAATTAACAGGGACACATGACTTAACAGATCCAAAGGGTGGATCCTAGACACCCACAGGAACACAGAGCAGGGCATGAGGAGGGGGACCAGGAAGGAGGGCCGAGAGGAACCGAGGGACCGGTGGAGAAGAGGCAGGGACCAGTAGAGTCCGGGGGCCGGCACCTGGGGCAGAGGAGTAGGCGGCGACTGAGTCTGGGGGGTCGGCGCCTGGGGCACATGAGGAGACGGCGACTGAGTCTGGGGGGCCAGCGTCTGGGGCAGAGGAGGAGGTGGCCACTGAGTCTGGGGGGGCCGGTGTCTGGGGCAGAGGAGGAGCCGGCGACTGAGTCTGGGGGGACCGGCGTCTGGGGCAGAGGAGGAGACGGTGAATGAGTCTGGGGGGTCTGCGTCTGGGGCAGAGAAGGAGACGGCGACTGAGTCTGGGGGGCCAGCATCTGGGGCAGAGGAGGAGGAGGAGATGGCGACGGGCTCTGGGAGTCTCACGCCTGGCGAGGGCAGGACCGGCGGTGACCGGAGGCAGAGCCGCTGCAGGGGTAGTCTTGGCAGGGAGAGACGCCAGACGTGGCCTCATCAACTTCTGGACAGGAGGTGACGTCGACTTCTGGACTGGAGGAGACGTTGACTTCTGGACTGGAGGCGTCGACTTCTGGACTGGAGGAGACGTTGTCTTCTGGACTGGAGGCGTCGACTTCTGGACTGGAGGAGTCGACTTCTGGACAGGAGGCGTCGACTTCTTGACTGGAGGCATCGACTTTTAGACTGGACGCGTCGACTTCTGGAGTGCAGGCGGAGCCGCTGCAGGAGGGGATGCTGACTTCTGGAGTGGAGGCGGAGCCGCTGCAGGAGGGGTCGCCGACTTCTGGACTGGAGGCGGAGCCGCTGCAGGAGGGGCCGCCGACTTCTGGAGTGGAGGCGGAGCCACTGCAGACGGGACCGCTTCCTTGGCTGGTGCCGCCGGACTGGGCGCTGACTGGACTGGTGGCGCGGGACCTGGCGCTGACTGGACTGGTGGCACGGGACCTGGTGGAGCCGGTAACTGGAAAAGCAGGGAGGATAGATTGCCCAGCTGGAACTCCTGGAGACTGAAGATCTGACGGAGTCGGACCAGCTCAGCTCGGAGACCGGCGAGCTCTGTTAGATGGGCTGCGGTCTCGGTCCTTTGGCCTGGAGACGAGGGAGCTGCTGACTGGACCGGAGGTGGGGCCGCTGGCTGGACAGAAACCTTCTCCTGGAGATATGGAGAGGATAGGGTGTCCAGCTGGAACTCCTGGTGTCGCGTGCACGTCCCATTTACCGGTTCCGTTAGAACTTATGAGACAATGCATCTATCAGGGTTCTGTGGGGATGTCGGTGAGTTTTATCGTACTAGACCCTGGTATGGACCTCCTAATTAGAATCGTATCTTTTATTTTAAAGGTGAAATGACTTGCACGAATAGTATCCCCAGAGTAGTCCACTTCTTTTAAACTCGTTATCTTTTGGTTAAGATACTGTAGTGAAGTCTGTAGGCAGGCCAATCCTCTCAGCAATTGTTTGGATTATCTGGATTAATTGCGCCTCTAACAGCTTATGTGGGAGGTTGGTAACTATGAAATGATTTTTGTTAGTTGATCAGGCTAACATAAATTTATCAATTTATTTAATTAATCCAACCCTCCAGCTGATAGAGACTTTTTCAACCTGCAATCAGAGCCAAAAATAACCACTAATATTTTGGTTTTATCGCCCTTAAGACAACTCGTTACTCGCAGGTGGGGGGGGGGGAGTCAAACTCCCCTTATCTTAAGGTTTCTTTATATTATTTTATTATAAACTGTAAAGTAAGTCCTGATAATTCAAGAACCCATAATTAATGTGCTTACCTCTGTGCAATTAATGGTCAGGGCCCCCATTCGTGAAGCTTTAGAGAAAACCTGAAATAATCAGGATTATGTTTCTTTTCTAAAAAAGTTTATTACAAAATAGAAAAATACAAAAATGAGTAAATATAAAAAACAACCGATATCCCCCAAGGAGGGATTAGTTCAAAATGATTAAATAAGAGAGTCAGTTTACACCAGCTCCTGTCTTCTGAGAATCTCCCCAAACTCTTGCCCAGCTTCGATCTGGGCTGCTGTTTTTATATCATTCCTGAGACTGCTCTAAACAATGTAAGAGTCACAAGTCATTCTCTCCTGACAGTTTAGGTCAAGAGGTCATTTACCAAATACACTTTTTTAGCTCTACACAAAACATTTTGGTGTCATTATCACTTCATGCAGTATTCACATGAGGGCACAAAAGTTACATGTTGCATTTCTTATGAGAGCACAGGTCATAAATCTTCATGTTGGTAGCAAATTGTAGGTCTTCCTTCAGCATTCCTGAGGACTTCTTTTCCCGCCAGAGGTGGATCCAGGGGTGGGGCCATGGGTGGATCCAGAGAAGCCTGCCTGCCTCTTGACCCTTGGCCTAGTTCTGTCCCCGCCAGCAAGTCCTGAACTCTTGTCCTCTTGACCCTTCTGTGACCCTTGTCTCTGACCACTGTTTCTAAGTCTTGACCGGCTGGAACTTGCAACACTGGTGGCTGATGAGTTGACGGAGCCGGCCAAGCTCCGCTTGGAGGCCGACGAGCTCTGTCTGATGGGCTGTAGGCTTGGTCCCTCCACCTGCAGATGAAGGAGGTGCTGACTGGACCGGAGACTCTGACTGGGGGTGGGTCTAAGCTGGTGTGCAGAGCCGGCGTAGCGGTGAGCCCGTGGTTCCGTCATGGGACAGGGGTGACGGTGGGGCCCGGCATCCTTCCCAACGCCGTGAGCCAACTCCGGGGGAGCACACAACCAGTCTGGTGCCCACATAGCAGGAGCAGTCTAGCTGCGTCTCCCAGTCCAACCCCCCATCTGGCTCCGGGAGGGTGGAGAGGATCGCTGAGGCCGGTGTTCGGCGGCGGCGTCTGCGGCGAGGCGACGCCGGAGGAGGAGAAGCCGGCCGGTGGCTCGGGGTGAGCCGTTGAAGCAGGTACTCCCAGGGGAGAACCTCCCCGCTGGATCTTTTAGGAGGTCGGTTCATTTTGTCACAGCGTGCGGGCGAGGTGAGCGGAGGCAAGGATCCAAATGCGGGTGAAGAAGGCAGGCAGGCAGACAGACAGACGGGAACGGTTTAGTAAGGTTTTAATACAAAACACGCTGGACATAGAAACAATGAACTGACAAAACATACTGAACTGAGAGGGTTTAAATACATGAGGGCTGGGAGCTTGGGTAATTGGAAAACGAGAGGCAGGTGGAAGCAATTAACCACACATGACTGAACAGAATGGGGAGACAGGACAGGGTGTGACACTTTGAGTTGCTTGTTCATTTTTTTATGGAATGGGGCTTAATAAATAAAGTTTGATTGATTGATATACATTTATATGCGGACGACACCATTTTATATTCATGTGGTTCTTCCTTGAACACAGCTTTGTCCTCCTAGCAGCACAACTTTAATTATCTTCAACATGTCTTCTCCAATCTTCATCTTCATTTAAACTAAGTTCATGATCTTCAACCATAACTTTTCACAACCAACCTGCCACCCTAGTATTGTTTCCCTGGATGGTACAGCACTACAGCTCGTCAGTTCCTAAAAGTGTGTTGGTATCTGCTTGACAGCACACTTTCATCTGACATTCACATGAATTCATTACTTTCTAAAGTCAAGTCAAGACATGGGTTTCTGTAGCAACAGGTCATCCTTTACTCATTCTGCAAAGCAAACCTTGGTCAACATGACGATCCTTCCTATCTTAGAACGTCATATCTTCTCTCATTACTCATCACTTCCAACAACCAGCACCATTTACATTCCAGTAACTTAATCTCTATGGCTATTCCCAAAGCTCGCACCGCCTTTGGCTGCACCTCATTCCAGTAATCTGCTTCCAACGACTGGAATGAGCTGCAGAAACCATTGAAGCTCACTACCTACATTCCATTATCTACCTTCAATAATTCATGGTGATCAATAGTTTCTGATCAGTGTTCCTGCTTCTGAGTATTAAAAACTGTTTTAGTCTGTTCTGACTGCTTGTACATATTATATATGAGAACAGTCCTTTGTCTTTGTGTCTAACTGCTTTATCTCACATGTCTTTCTTTGGTGTAAAGCTAACTATGTGCTGCTGCCTCTTGGCCAGATAATTGTTATAAATGAGAATGAGTTCTCAATCAACTCATCTGGATAAATACATTAAAAAAACAAAGAACCCCTATGGATGTTGAGAAACACAGAAGCAGATAATAAACACTGAGACCTCAGAACCCATGACTGGAGCATGATGTTATTATATGAAGATAAAAGTGTTTAATGTAAACCAGTTTTATACACAGCTAAAATGGTTGTCAGTTCATGTTGATAATAATTTATCATTCGTGTAAAGATAATTTGCTTTTCTCTTATAGGTGAAAGGCACTGAGGACACTTACTGGCTGATGGGTCGAGAAGGTTTCAATAAACCACTTCCTATTCCCCCTGATGTCACTGGAGGGTAAGAATACCATCATAGTTAACCAGTGTTTCAAAGAATTAACATACTCTGAACAAGATGTTATTATTATTATTATTATTATTATTATTATTATTATTATAAATATAACTGACAGGCTGACTGAGACATAGCTCTTGGTGCTGCTCTTGAAGAAGAAAGTAATGGTACAAGTACCACAAGAGAAGCAGAATACAACATATCAAAATATAAGAGAGAGAACAAAAAAAAAAAAAGAAAACAAAGGAACAGTAGTAATAATAATAAAAGTAATATTGACAAATATTGCCAGTTGAGGTGGCCCAAGCACCGGGAGCCTCCCTGGTGAGATTGTCCAGTCACGTTCAACCAGAAGACTCTGGTTTAATGGTATTAGACATTTTTGTTTTAGTATTTTACTATCTCTTTAATCAGTTTTTGTTAGTTATTTCCATATTAGCTATTATTATTAATATTAATATTATTTATGTATTTATTTTTATTCTTTCATTTTACTCATTTTAATCATACCAGTGTTTCCTCTGTGGGGCCCTCTGCCTCGGGGGTGGTGGTCAACTGTGGCGGTCTGGGCACTCCTAGGGGTATGCTCAGGCGGTGGTGGGGGTTTCCGGCCTCCCTCCCTGGACGCCCTGGGTTAGTGACTAGGCTGCTGCCATCGATCAACTACTGCCAAGGCAGATGGCTCACCTGATGGCGTGTTATTCATTACCCAGATCATCTGAACCCAGCCTAGTGTTTACTTACGCTGTTTTTTAGGTTGTGTGTGTGTGTGTGTGTGTGTGTGTGTGTGTGCGTGTGTGTGTGTGTGTGTGTGTGTGTGTGTGCGTGTGTGTGTGTGCGTGTGTGTGTGTGCGTGTGCGTGTGCGCGTGTGTGTGTGTGTGTGTGTGTGTGTGTGTGTGTGTGTGTGTGCGTGTGTGTGTGTGCGTGTGCATGTGCGTGTGTGCGTGTGCGTGTGCCTGGCAAATGGGTTGTGGGATAGGGGGTGTAACTGTCATAATTGTTTCTATATTTGTTGGAAAGGGATGGCAATATGGGTCATATGGGGTCATTTTAATCTGTTAAGCACTTTGAGCTGCTTTTTCTTTTGTATAAAAGTGCTATACAAATAAAGTTTGATTGATTGATTGATTGATTGATTGATTGATTGATTGATTGATTGATTGATTGATTGATTGATTGAGAAGGAAGACCCAGAACACGCTGGAGGGACTATGTATCTTGGCTGGCCAGGGAACGCCTTAGAAATCCCCTGGAAGGTCTGGCCCACGTAGCTAGGGAGAGCGAATTCTGGGCCTCTCTGCTTAGACTGCTGCACCTGCGGCCAGACTCCGGATAAGTGGAGGAAATTATTACTGACAAATAAAAACAAAACAATAGAATAAGTCGCAGACATTTAAAAAGAACAAAACTGCTGTATGTCAAGTATTGTAGAAGGTAAAGAGAAGGGGAGCCTCGGTACGCGCTGGCCTGACCAATTCCCTTCTGCTGAAGTGAGCTAGCTGACTGAAGAAGTTGAAAGAATCCTCTTGACTACTAGGACCTTTGTGGCCTTCCTGGTATGCCATTTTCATTGGAGACAAATGCCAATCTTCAGCCTGTGACATCAGGACCAGTCGAGTTTTTGATGGTGGCCAGAATTGCTAAACATGGATGCAACGCCAAGCCAGGTGTTGTCTCCCTCCTTGCAGTTGCACGCAAAATAAAATTTGATAGCAGTTGCGGCTGTTGCAGCACTACTAATCGGCGCCCTTGTTAACCTACACACTCGGTCACATCAGCTGCAAAGTGCCACGAAGGCTCACGCTGTGAAGCCATCGTTTCAGCATGAGCTCAATTTTTTTTGTGAGCCGCGTCAATTCGGGCAGGAAGTCAAACCACAATAGAAGAGACAGGCCGGTAAATTTTACAAAATAAAATAAAATAAAAAACCACCGCGACTGATAAATATGATCATTTTCGTGTAGCTAAACAGACTAGAGAGATGAAAATGAACAAACACACACACACACACACACACACACCTGAAGAGAAACACAGCATTTCCATCATTTTAAATGCAGTTTTAACAGCAAAAAATATTGAATAAATGTGAATACAAACAAATACACAGCAACAGGATCAGCGCAGCTTCTTATATAAAACAGTGGCGCAAACAGGATTTACACAAACACACACACAACAAGGGCACAGGGGTAGGCGTGAGCGGAAGCGCTCGTTGAAAATTCTCACCTGATGTGAACAGAAGAGGAGCGGACAACACTCGTGTTTCGTGAGCGATCCAGTTTGCAGCGTTTGACAGCTGGTGTGTTCCAGGCGTCACTCTCCTCCACTCTACCACCTTTAACCAACATGTGAAGTGGCACGTCAGAGACAATAAGACAATTGATCTTCTGTGTGCTGATGTAAAAAATGCTTATATCTCTACCTCCTCCCTCTGCTCCGGATTTCTGATCATTCATCTGAACACCGAAAACACATCCAGGGTGGTTAGAGAACCCCACAGAAGAAATCAGTGAAAATGTGGTCTGTAGAAACTACGGAGAGCCTAACGGACTGTTTCCAAACCACAGACTGGGAGACGCTCTACAGATGTCATGGTGATGACTTTGAAGAAGAAGAAGAAGAAAATATCTTTTCTATAACGCCTTTCAAGATAAAAATCAAAAGGCGCTTCACAAAAACAAAAAATGCAAAAATATCAAAAAGAATTTAGAAATTGGTTAAAAATATATTTAAAATTAGCAAATATTACACAATCGTGATTAAAAAATGTAAAGAAAGAGAGTGAATAGATAAGAGGGAAATCAGTGGATTCTGAGGAAGGTGGAATAGGTGGGGAGAGCAGAATAAAGAGAGAGTGGTGAAGAAGGTCATACAAAAGCCAGCTTGAACAAGTGAGTCTTCAGCTGCTTTTTAAAGCTGACTTTCAGGAGACCCATCAGCGCAGCAGGATCAGGACATCCAGACCCACAAACCGGAGCTCCAGGCAGCAGGCAGCATCAGCATCAGGCAGCAAAGCATAGAGGTCCCCCAGGTAGCAAAGACCAATGGCGAAGCTCAGGAGAGGAGAGGATTAGACACAAGCACGTGAGGGTAGACACACGAAGACTGAGTCTAATGCAAATCAAAGAAACAAAAATAAACCTGGCACTGTGAGTACCTGCATGTACTATGTGTAGGAATTATGTGAGTTGATCCCCAGCTTTAAAGTCCTCGGGGAGAAATGCATTCAAAACAGAGTCTAGCTCTGTAAAAAGACCAAGTCAGGCAGGATTAACGGTTAACGTCTAACAACTTCTAACAAGTCCAAAATGGGCAAAGACTACGACTTAGCAGTAGCTTCAACTAATACAAACTAGTACACCGGCGCAGGAGGATCGCAGACTAGTTCTGGACCTCCTCGAATGAAAGCTGGCATCTCCTTTTGTAGTCTTCCCAGGTCTGCGTGATGACTGATTCAGTTCAGCTGCTCTCTCCAATGTGCTGAAATGGAGCAGGGAGAGTAAGCTGCTCCGAAACTGTCCCTGGTGCTGAATCTTCAGTAGGGATGAGGCCAGAGCGCAGATGAAACATGACGATGAGGACCGACGGGACGAGGGTCGTCACAACTTGATGAAACAGAATGCCACCGTAGTCATTCTTCCCCTCTGCAGTAAGGGTGTAGAACTCCTCAGTTTAACTGGTCCTAGCATTATCCTGGTACACAATAACTTATATGCAGTATTCAGCATGTGTTCAATTCTCGTGCAATAGAGGTGGGAATTGATACGTTTTTATCAATATCAATTGCATTGTCCATTCTTGACTGATCCAATTCCCTTATCGATTCCAGAGTATTTAAACAGATGGCAACAAACTAATGGCACACAGCCTCCTGCATTATAGCTGTCAGTTTCTTCATAATAAATAATCAGTTGTACCTGTATCAGTTGGACATATCTTTCCTAATGTTCTCCTTCATGCTCCCTGTGGAGGCAGAGTCATCTTCTTGTGTGGTGCACCGTTGCTGTAGCTTTTGTAGAGTGGGAAACATCTCACCACTGGTTAGACATTTGTCCCTGGACTCTGCTAGTGTGGAGGAAGTGTAAATCTCAGCTGAAGACTCACTTGTACAAACTGGCTTTTGGACAATGACTCTTTTATTGTGTTTTTACTGACTGTTCTTATCTGTATTGTGATGTTGTTTTATGATAGTTTTGTGCAGCACTTTGGTCGGCTCACATGTCGTTTTGAAATGCGTTATAGAAATAAAGGTGGTATGGTATGGTATGGGGTATATATGAGGTAAATGACGCTAACATGATAGGTAGTGTTAGTTAATTAGTTACCTGCAGTATTACCAGGAGAGGATGTGCAGTTGTCACCGCTGCTGCTGCTGCGTGTCATAAAGCCGCTAATTCACTAGTCCGGAGCGGGTCAAAACACGTCAATAACTTTAAGTTATCGCGTATTTTGTGCTTTAAGGCTTTTGAATATTCGCAATGCTTCCTCTACTTTGCAATTATTGCAAGTTACCTTGTTGCCATGCTGTCTTGTCAAATATAACCAAAATTTTGAGCGTTTGTGCCGCTTAGACGCCATGTTTCCTGCTTCCATAAGCTACGCAATGTGCACAGTGACGTAATTTGTGCTGACTGGAATTGATTCACACCCTGATGGGGATGAGCTACGATGTAGCCACAGCTGTCCTGGGGCGCACTGACAGAAGTATGGTGTTCTTGGGTGCAACTCAGCATTCTTTCTCCTTCAAACAGCACACACAGTTTTGTTTTGGTTTCATCTCACCATATGACATTCTCTCAATTCTCTCCTGGATCATCCAAAAACTGGAGATTATTGGTGGTCTTCCACTTTCTAATAATTGCTCCCACAGTTTATTTCTTCACACCAAGCTGCTTACCTATAGAAGACTCAGGCTTCCCAGCCTGGTGCAGGTTTACTATCTTGTTTCTGGTGTCCTTTGGCAGCTCTTTGGTCTTGACCATAGTGGAGTTTGGAGTGTGACTGTTTGAGGTTGTGGACCTTTGTACTGATAACCAGTTCCTACTATTAGTGTCTATCAGCTATCACCAGCTGGCTAGAAGATAACTTCCTTCAATTAAACTCTGAAAATATGGGTTAGTGTTAGTGAGGGTTGAAAAAAGCAAACTTCTGTGCAGGCAGTAGAGTGTTGCAACACAATTCATGCTAGGACAACAGAGTGCACCGCTATTCTGTAGTGTCCTGCCGCCATAGCACTCGTTCGTGTATCCGGTCCACTATAGTGTATTTACTAATGTGTTTATATATGTCAGAGACTTTATAACACGGACAGGTTTGTCCTCCACCTCTTGATGTGGTCACCACTTCTAAACCCACGTTTCCCGTCGTTTCCATCCATGCTTGTTTCGTATTTTGAATTCCTTCGGTCACGGGTGAATAAACGTTCTTTTTTTGGGGGGGGGGGGGACTTTTTCTGCATTCTTCAATCTGTTCTGGGTCTGCCGCTAACTATCTTTTTACTTTTTAACAGAGCAACGGCAGTGCTGCTGACAAATTTACAGGAAATGGTGTCCTGACCAATCACAAGCTTGCGGTCTCTGTCACTTTCAACTGATGTTTAAAATTTTGGGCATGTCTCCATCCCCCTGTCTTTTATCGGAGAGCCCTTGCGTCGACGCATAATGGCGTTGCGTGTCTCCGCACCGACGCAGATGTGTAAATCAGGCTTCAGACTTGATGAATTTGGGTGTTTTTGATTAATCAACGTCTCTACAAGGCCACAGAAAAACGCTGGTCCTAAACTGTTTTTATCATTTGACAAATATCTCCAAACTGCAAAGGTTGGTGTCAAAACAATAGTTTATTTTACTTATTTATTCTTCATTGAACCAGGAAGGTTGCATTGAGATTAAACCTTTCATGCGTAATGGTCACTACAGTGGACAGCTAGTCAAAGTTGTTGCCTTTACTTTTGCTATTAAGCACGGCTGTTAGACTCTAGTAAGTCAAGCCAACATATTTCATGTTCAGAAGGCACGCTGTCCGCTGAGGTGGACATGTAATAAATTATTTGTGAAAGCCTTATGCTCCAATCCGAGCCCTCAGGTCCACCCACCAGAACCTTCTAGAAGTTCCAAAGACCAGATATAAAAGTGGAGGTGATCGCTCCTTCCAGACTTTGGAATGATCTTCCTTTATCCTTAAGTAGCGTTGACAGTCTCAACACTTTTATAAAACAGCTGAAGACCCTTTTATTTAAATCTGTTGTTTCCTTCATCTGAAAGACTGTTTCATTATATTTCATTTGTTTAATTATATTTGAGCTTTTATTGATTTTTACAGTTTTCTTTGTTTGATTAGTGCCATATAAATGAAGACACACACACACACACACACACACACACACACACACACACACACACACACACACACACACACACACACACACACACAAATGCCAGAAGTCTTTACCTTCTCATGTTCTTTTCTTAATGTCCTGTATTTGTTTTGTGTGTTTTTAACTGAAAAAATGCTCCATACATTATTTTGTTATGTGAAATCTGGTTAATTTAGCAATTTTAGTTCAAAGAAAATGGAAGTATTTTGTGATTCTTCAAGAAAATGACTCATAATGTGATGAGTTTATCTTTAAGGGTAAAAAAGCCAATTACAGGTCATTTAACTCGTTCTGTCCCTGTCCTGCACGACTCTCACACTCCTGCTCTCTTCCTCAGAGCGGCGAACCATGGGATCAGTCTGGACGAAATTCCTGTTGAGAGACGACAAAAGTTTTTAGATCGACAAAAGACGATGAAGAAATGATACCACACACACATGTTTGTATTTCTATCTTAGTGAGGACCATGCATTGACTTCCATTAATTTTTGTGGCTGTATTATGCTTTACCCTAACCATAACCATAACCATTGCTGATCTACTGCTAACCCCAATCTTAACTAAAACTTAATTCACTCCATAGCTCTAAAACCAACTGATAAGCTTCTAAAAAGTCATGATCAGAAAAATGTCCTCACTAAGAAAAATGTCCTCACTTAAAAAAATGTCCTCACTAAGAAACATGTCCTCACTTTGTGGGAAAAATAGTGGAAAGGGTCCTCAATATGTAGTAAGTACAAGAAAACACTCACACGAAGTTTATGTACATGGATGAAATCATACTTGTAGTTGTAGTATAATGTGTTTGTACTAGTTTTTTGTGATTTTATGCTCTACATAGGATATGTCATGTTAGTGCCACCTACTGGTGGCACTGAGTGCTGCACTATGAGGTGTGGAAATTAAAATGTGAATAAGATCAACAAACATGATGGACTGCAGATACCCCTAAATGCTTGGTCCAAACAGCTTTTGTGTTTATTTAAGGATTATTAGTCTGATTTATCTGTAAGTTTGATGTTTATTAATTATCTGTAAAAATGTTGATTTTGAGCAGCTAAATAAATGATTCTTTTTGATTTCTAGTCATTTTTCAACTGATCATTTGAACACTTAAAATTGGCTGAGAAGATAAAGCTTTTCCCACATAGAGACTTATTTTCACCTGTTGCCATGTTTCTTTTCATTTTGCATTATTGTTTTTTTTTATTTTACTTTTTCATGAAACAAACTATAGTGTAACATTTGTAAGTGATTACTTAGTAAATTATCAATAGAATATAAAGTTATTCAATTAAATGTAATACTCCATAAAGAAATGGATTATCAATATTATCGAACCTTTAATATTGGATTGATGATGAAACTAGGTACTTTGGTTAATCCAGGGAAACAACACTTTATAATAATTTGACACAGAGACAAACTTATAGTTTATAAAATCTATTTATTACTATATTAATGATGATGATTATAAATGGTGACTGTGATATTAAATGAGACAATGAATGAACTCTGAGGAAACATGGCCTGGTGTGAGTTTTCTACGTGACTCAGAAACCAGGGGCACCTCCAGAAATTTTTGATGGGGTGGCGAGACAGGGCCAAATAAATTTTTGGGGTGGCTCACCAAATTGGTCCTTGTGGTAACTCAGGGAGATTTTAGCCTGTGGCGATATATTGCATTGCTTCTTTATTCATTTTTATTAAAAAATCATACCGTATGTATCTAAAATATTTAACTTAAATTTTACAAACAAAGATTTCAGAAAAATAGACTTCAGTTACTTAAAATGTTATTTAAATTTTTATTTAAAAATGTATTTTTTTAAGTTTAATTCACCTGTTACTGTGTTCACAAAAAAACTATGGAGATGAAAGCTTTTTAAAATGGTGAGCAGCAGAAACATACAGTATGTATTATTTAAAATTCTGATTATTTCTTTACTCATGAATTGTATTATTTTTATTTATTTTTACAATTATGTCTTAAATAAACAAGATCAATTAATGGTTTGACAGAAAATTAATAGATTTATTAACACTGGCTTTTCCTAGGGTGGTCAGCAATTTTCTTGGGGTGGCCATGGCCACCCCTGGACACCCCTTGTGGGCAGCATTGCAAGAAAGGTGTGATGTCTGGGTTTCTAAAATGAATGTGGCTGTTGGATGTAATTTAACAAGTTATCAGATTAATAACAACTACTCTGACACCGTTGTTTAGTCTACACTCCCTGGATCATGGAAGCTCCGGAGATCTGGTCTGCGGGTGAAGCCGTCTCTCAGAGCGAGTGAGTGAACTTCTGATGTATCTGAAGGTCGTAGACACCCTCTGCAGATGCACGACTGGTCAGAAAATACTTCCCAGGTGGCTTCTGGTGGACGGTTTCATGTCTGATGGGTGGGTGGTGGGTTGAGTAAACGGATTGATTTAAAAAAGGATGGTTCATATGCTGCTAAAATTATTCTACTGAATAATCTGGTTTAATCTCCATAGGATGGTCATTTAGCATGAGCTGTGAGCTATTGATGAACTCGGAATTCTGGTTGAACTGGGGAACGTAGGAAGTTATTCACTTTTAATGAAATGGTTGTTTTTACATCTTTGACCAACCAGATGTCATAAACCTGTCAAGGTGTTCACCACGACCCTCAGACACTCAGAAGAGCCTGGTTCCACTTAATGTGGAGTAAATCTGTTAAAATACTGATACTAATATGAATATAACTGATAATTAATCATTATTAAATCATCAGGTAGACTCATTTAGTGTATTTAAGATCTGAAATAAGTCATGAAATAATAAACATGTTGATTCATAATGACATCACTTCAGATAGAACGTCCACTGTAGAAAACACAGATTATGACCGTAAATCTGTAGACTGAAATAAATCATTTTATGAGACCAAATAAGAAGGACTTTATCAAAAGAATAAAGTCTCGTCTCCTGGACCTTGGAGCTGCAGGTTCTAGTAAATAGTGGCGGAAAAGAGGTCAGGCGATGGAATTGTTTTGACCGTCTTCCCAAACAACAAGGTTAGAAGCTAACGCTAACCCAAACAGCAAGTTTAGAAGCTAACCCTTACCCTAACCAGACAGGTTAGACGCTAACCCTAACCAGACAGGTTAGAGGCTAACCCTAACCAGACAGGTTAGAGGCTAACCCTAACCAGACAGGTTAGAGGCTAACCCTAACCAGACAGGTTAGAAGCTTACGTTATTTTAACACCATTTTAACAGCCATAAGGATTTCAAAACAGGAGGAGGATGAAGTGGGACACGCTGACAGGTGAGGCTGCAGGCACCACCTGTCCCTCTGTTCCCCACCAGCAGGTAAGGAGGGGATGTGCTGTGCCCTGTTAGACAGGCGCTGACACAGTAGCGTGGGCACAGTTGGGGTTTGGTGGGGCTGGATGGCGTGGGTTCGGTCTCTAACGGGCAGTGTAGTGCTCACATATAAATCCGAAGGACTTCTCAGAAATGCGGAAGTCCCCGAGCCTGTGGGCGGAGTTTAATACGCGTGGGAAAGTCTGCGGCGTCCTCCATTATAAGATAAACAAAGGCAGACATGAGCTGTGTTGCTTTTGGAGACTCTGAACCACACACACACACACACACACACACACACACACACACACACACACACGCACACACACACACACACACACACACACACACACACACACACACACACACACACACACACACACACACACACACAGCTCACTCTCCTCTCCCGTTGCCACTGATCGGCAGCTCCAGGACAGCAGCTCTGTGCTGCAGACAGAAGTTTACTCAACAGCATCCAGCGTGAAAACAGCGCATGTGGTAAATAAATCTTGGAAGTCAACAGCAACCTCCTGAAATCTTGTTTAAAATTTTATATCATGATTTAGACCAGGGGTCACTAACCTTTGTAATGCTGAGAGCTTCTTCATGGGTACTGAGCCATTTAATGGGCTACCAGGTTGATTAAATCCTGACCTTTGAACTGGAATAGATCAGAGTTAAAAAATAAATAAATAATATATATGCATAATAAACATATTTTAATGTTTTTAAAGAGATTTGTTGTTTTGAAATCTATAATAATGCATTTGTGATTTTAAAATGGCAGCAGACGTTCAGACTTGTGCCATGTGGACAAATGGCCTGAGGGCCCACCGCTGATTTAGATTAGCATGGAAAAAATGATTGTGAGGATTTTTCCACGACTCAGATCTACTTCACACACGTGTGTCACGTGACTTAAGTTTAAGGGTGCCGCTTGGTCTGCTGTGATCCACCTGCTGAAACACACCTGAGAGGCAGCAGGTGGCTGATGCTTTAAATCCTAATAAGAGGATCAGGCTGAGCATATGGATTGGTACAGTCTGAGGAAACACCTGCGTCGACTCAGAACCACAAAACACCACCGACCTATGGACCAGAATACAGTAAGTACATGCACCCCTGATCCAGATCAGAACCCCTGATCCACCCCCTTCAAGGCTGGCTGCAGATTGAGGGGTCAGGACTTCTGGACACTGGTTTGGGTGTCTATGGTCCAGTCTGGGCCGGTTGCGCAAAAGTTGTGTGTGTGTGTGTGTGTGTGTGTTGTGTGTGTGTGTGTGTGTGTGTGTGTGTGTGTGTGTGTGTGTGTGTTCTTGTACATGCTACATACTGAGGACTATTTTGAACACTTTCCCTACAATGTGAGGACATTTTTCAAAGTGAGGAAATTTTTTGGGTCCTCACTTTTTTTAGGAGCTTACCAGAAGCTTACTATACCAGTTAGAGGCATAGTGTGAATTAAGTTTTAGTTAAGGTTAGGGTTAGGAATAGATCAGCATTGGTTATGGTTAGGGTTGGGGTATGGGTTAGGCATGGTGAAATCACAAAAATGAATAGAAGTCAATGGAGGGTCCTCACTATGATAGAAATACAGACGTGTGTGTGTGTGTGTGTGTGTGTGTGTGTGTGTGTGTGTGTGTGTGTGTGTGTGTGTGTGTGTGTGTGTGTGTGTGTGTGTGTGTGTGTGTGTGTGTGTGTGTGTGTGAGTGTGTGTGTGTGTGTGTGTGTGTGTGTGTGTGTGTGTGTGTGTGTGTAGGCCTGATGGATCCAGACGACCAGTCTCCTCTGAGGCGCTTCGTTGTGGCAAAGCAGTCCATCACCTCCATCTTCGATCAGCTGCTGGATTTGGTAAAGGATGGCTCCGCCTTTGTGGATGGTCAGAACCAGTTGGACCCAGAACCAGAACCGAGCTGAGTCTGGGTTGATGTTAACCCACTTGTTTGTGTGTTTGTTTGATTCAGAGGTGTGGCGCTGTGACGATCTGGGTCCGGTCGCCCTGGAGGAGCACAGTCTGGAGCTGCAGAGCTGCTCCACCAGGATCTCCAACATCAGGGAGGTTCTGCTCAGGAGACACATGAAAGTGGCGTTCTTCGGCAGGTGAGAGGAGACCAGACTAAACCGGTTCTGTTCATCTGTTCAATCATGACCGCACTTTAGCTAATGCCTTGAGTTAGGAGCCTTTTCCTTCCTAAGAGGTCAAAGGTCATAACCATTCATCAGGATACCAGAACCAAACCTGGATCAAAAACCAGTCAATCAGAAGTTCTGGAGACCTCATCTGTTCCCATCTTTAGGATGTGATGTTTGCTTTTTCTGACCAGGACCAGTAACGGGAAGAGCACCGTGATCAACGCCATGCTTCACGACCGGGTTTTGCCCAGCGGGATCGGACACACCACCAACTGCTTCCTGAGCGTGGCGGGGACGGATGAGGATGAAGCCTTCCTGACCACTACAGAGTCCAGAGAAAGGCGGAGCCTCGCTGTGGGCTGGCAGCATTTACCTGTGCAGGTGAGTCTGCTGCTGCACTCTAACTCTGCCTCCTTTCTCTCCAGACGGTCAACCAGCTGGCTCATGCACTTCACATGGACCCCACACTGGACTCTGGAAGTTTGGTCCAGGTGTTCTGGCCCAAAAGTCACTGTGCCCTGCTGAGGAACGACCTGGTTCTGATGGACAGGTAACATCCCACCATGCAACTGTCTGCAGCAGTTTCTCCTTTAGAATGACTGATCCTGTTTGGTTTTG